TAATGCAACACTTAAATTAATAATAAGTTTTTGTTCATTTCAACAATTAAAAAAGTAATCGATAACATAAAACAAACATTTAAACAATCAAGGTTATTAATAAAAAGAGTCTAAAATAAAATAAACAGTTCAAAAATTAAAAAAAAACTTTTCAATTGTATAGCCTTAACCTATTTATCTTCTCTCAATGCTTGTTTTACTCATTAGTACTTTTCATTTTTATCCAGAACACGACTTGGTGATTATTTAAAAATTGATATTGAATTATAAAGTTTTGTTTTATGTTTTTGGCAAAATTTGGTTTATGGTAATCAAATTTTTGATCCCAAGTTTGTTTTTTATATTTTTCAAGTAATTTTTTGGTGGAAGATTTATTTGTCAAGTAAAATTTAAAAAAGTCAGTTCGTTATTTTGTTTTTTTCGAATAAATGTTTATAACAAAAAATGAGGGTTAAGCAAAGGAAAAATTATTTAGTAATTATTTGTCTAAAAAATCGGGGCATCCCAGTACAGAGTTTTGAAAAACAGTTTATTTGGATGAAAATGAAGAAGACATCAAATGAAATTAATTAAATTTTTAGCTATTATAAAACTGATAAAAAAACAATAAAAAGTTTTGAATGAATTAATGTTTGACTAAATAGTCAGCAACACCTTCCGGCGATGGTTTCATGGTGTCTTTTCCAGGCTTCCAGTTGAGTGGGCAGACTTCGCCATGTTCATCAGAGAATTTGATAGCTTCGATGATTCTCTTAGTCTCCTCAGTGTTTCTTCCGATGCCATTGTCATTGACTTGCATATATCTGATGATACCCTTTGGATCAATAACGACATAACCACGTCTTGCAATGCCATCAGCCGCATTGAACATGTTGTACTTCATAGAGATGCACTTCTTGATATCAGAGACCAATGGGAATGCCAACTTCCCAATACCACCGTGTTCACGTGGAGCATCGCACCACGCCTTGTGACAAAAGACTGAGTCGACTGAAATGCCAATGAACTGAACGTCTTTCATTTCTTCAGCCAATTTGGAATATCCCAACATCTCAGTTGGGCACACAAAAGTCCAGTCGAGTGGGTAGAACAACAAGACAACAAACTTTCCTCTCACCTTCTCAAAGTCAAAGTCGACAATTCCATTGCATGGGCAGAGGGCTTGTGCCTTGAATGTTGGGGCTTCTTCACCTACTTGTGCTTTTGGGACGGCACGGAGGAACTCCTCGTATGCCTTTTTGGCTGGGCACACTTTCTCGCAGCAGCTCTCTTTCTTTGCACAACACTCTTTTTGACAAGTCGACATTTCTTGTTTTGTTTGTTCTCAGAAATATTTAAATAGAACCACCTCAATTTTCAAACAAATCTGGTCGTGTGATCTTGTCCAGACGTCTTGCGGTGATATTTTTGATATTTATTTGTTGTCCAGTCAATTATTTATCATAAACAAAGTTATCACTCATTTACAATAAATACAATGATAAAAACATATAAATATTAACTTGGTGTTTAACTACAAAAATCAGTTGTGTTTTTGTTTTCAAAAAGATTACATAAATTGTTTATAGTAAATGGTCTATTAATTATAGTTTTAATAATATCACTTACAAATTTATGAATCTAAAAGCAGAATCAAAAAGTGTGGACGTGGCGATCTTGCATTGAAAACCTCATACCAAGACGCGAGATCTGGCACACGTGTCAGTTCACATATTCTGGTCATTTACTCTCTATTTGTATAACGGACGTTTTATCGCCAACTTGAAAACATTCAATGTATGGTTTTTGTATAACAACAGAACTATAATTTAATGGTTAAATAAATGGTATTATTAAGCAAATATAATTAATATTAATAAAAAAATAGGAAATGTCCAAAAGTAATTCAAAACAAAATGCACACAACCAAAATTGTATTATTTGAAACAGATTTGTTACAATTCATTGCGCTGTTTTTGCATTGCAATTTGGGAAAAGTTGCTAAAACTAAAATATTTTCAACAAAGATCTGGTCATTTTTGACAAATATTGTCCAATCAGAAGTGCCACTTTTTTTTATACAAAATAGTTGAAAATAGATTTTGTTTATTGATTAAATATACTGTTCTAATACAATTTAACACAAGTATTTCAAATTAACAAGTTGTTTATTTAACGAGTTAGATTATTATGATATTTATTAACCTCGTTAATTTATTTTATAATAATATAAATTATTACATCTACTTTATAATTAATTAGCTCGTTAATTAAAATGTCATAATAAAAAACAGCTCGTTAATTATTTATACCAACCACAACGAAAGAAATGTGGAGAGTGTGAAAAGAAGTGGCTTTGTGTGTGAAGAAATGAATAACTTTCACATTTTCAAGGCAAATAAATAAGTCGTATTTAAGACCGACCAAAACTAAATAAAAAACACACAATGGCCTTCGTCCTCCCTCCACTCCCTTACGAAAAAACTGCTTTGGTCCCACACATCAGTGCTGAGACTTTGGAATTCCACCACGACAAACACCACGCGACTTATGTCACAAAGTTGAATGGGTTGGTCGCCAACACAGACAACGCCAAGAAGACACTTGAAGAGCTCATTAAAACAAAACCAACACAAGCTATTTACAACAATGCCGCTCAAGCATGGAACCACGCTTTCTACTGGAACTGCATGTGTGGCTGTGGCGTGAAGCCATCTGCTGAACTCGAAAGCAAATTGGCTGCCGCGTTCGGAAGTTTCGAAGACTTCAAGAAGAAGTTCACCGAGAAAGCCGTCGGACACTTTGGAAGTGGGTGGTGCTGGTTGGTCGAGCACAACGGAAAGCTCGAGATCATCGACACACACGACGCTGTTAACCCAATGGCAGAGGGTATGAAACCAATCCTCACCTGTGATGTCTGGGAACACGCCTACTACATCGACACGAGAAATAACAGAGCTGCTTATCTTGAACACTGGTGGAACGTCGTCAACTGGAAGTTCGTCGAACAGAACCTCGCTTAAGTTACTCATATCACAACTTTTGTTAATTATTTATAATTTACAATATAGTAATATTTTAATTATATATTAATTTAAACTATTTAAATACCATTATTATTATATTATATTTACACATTAATAATAATGATATATATACTAAATAGTATAGTATATAATAGTATATAACACACATAAAACAGACAGACGGATGTGAATGATTCAAACATGAGGAAAAAGACAGGACAGTGTTTTGAAAATGGAATTTCAACTTAAAAAACATTTAAAAACAAACACAACAGGAATGAATAAAAGACTTCAACCGTTTTACTTGATGAATGTGATACTGTATATGGAACACTCTGATCTTGAAAATTTTGAGAACACAAGCAGAAATTGTCAAACTGCTATTGAAATGATGCACATCAACCCAGTTACGTCCACTGGACTATCTTCGTTGTATTTTCTTCATCTCTTTCCAAAGATGAATACAATCCAAATCACTTCTTCTGCACTTCTCAATGTGAATCCAAACACTTTCAGACGTGTTCAGAAGATCCAAATAGTCGACAGAGACTTTGTTGTTGCTGGTGACTTTTTAAGTAAGATGGTGTACTCGACAAAACTGCCAGTTAAAGATGATTTGTATCCAATTCTCAAAAATCTCACGATTACTTCATCGAGTCTGTGCTTGTTTTAAGAGAACTTTAAAAAGTACCCAAACCTCAATGTGTTGAAAATTCTTTTCGGACATCTCTCAGAATTAAAAAACACTAATTATATAATGAAAAGTATTGTTGCACTTCATAAGTTCAATATTGTTATTTCTGTGTGTAAATTCTGTATAGAGGATTTTATGAAAATAGATGAAGAGGTCAGAGATTATGTAACAATTGTGTCAAGGGTTGAAAAAGAAAATGGACAAATTGGATTTGTTATCAATTCAATTAAGGGGGTTCTAGCATCAAATACTGATAATCAATATGGTGGTAAACTCAATTGGAAAGTGTCAAAAATGAAGTAAATCAATTAATATTTTATTTCAATATTAATAAACATTGCTTTCCTGATAAAATAACACTCAATTCACAATATTGGTTTAATAACAACAATAATTAAATGCCAAATGAAATAGATGATATATACACATTTAAAATATGTTAAAAACCATGTTTGTTTTATAAAAAAAATATATACATATAAATAAATTGAATGAGATTTATTTTTTTTTCAATAACTGTCATATAAAAAAGGGTATTTTATTTCAATAAATTTTACTTGGTATATTTCATGATATAAATAAATCATTTTGAAATTAAAACTATGATGCTGATAAAGACATTATTTTAACAAACTTATTTTATATGTATTTATGTAATTTTTTAACTTTTTAATAAAAAAGTTAAAATATTTAGAAGATAGTTAATTATGTTTATTGATAATTTGAATGAACTTGATTCAAAGCTCTAAAAATTCGAATTATAATCAAATAATAGTCATGAAAAAAGTTATTAGCATTTTGCCACAAATGTGTAATAAGATTATATTTGAATGTAGCTAATTGAGAATTAGCATGGTTGGAAAATTTACCTGTTATTTTTTTTCTTTGGCAAATTCGTCTTATTTTTTACCATTGAAAAATCTTTGCCCGTTTTTTTTCTTAAAAAACAACCTAATATAACATAATAAATAAAAATAAAAAAGTCGGTATTGGTATAGTATTATTTTACTATTAAGTATAGGTTATTTTAAAAAAATTAATTATGAAACTTTTTTTGTTTTTGATATTTATGTTAAAAAACAACCCGAAATAACAAGTAAAAAAAATTTAAATTAATATTTTTTTAAAAAATAAATAATTTTTTAATTTAATAAATTATAATATATATTGTTTATTTTTTTAGTTAAAATATATTATACAATTAACTAATGTTTAAATTAAAATAAAATAATTATTATAAGATACTATTATATTTTATAATAATAGTTTATTTTAATAATTTAATTATAATAATAAGTGTTTGATTATTTATCTATATCAAACATTTATTGTTAACTATTAAAAATATACAATTTATTTATTAGTAAATAATAACCCTTGATTAAAACATTACACACTTATTGTTAATTAAGTTTTTATTCGACAATATTAATAAATAAACAACATGTTCAAATTCTTGATCAACAGACGAACAACGTGTTAAAACATTTTCATTTATTCATCGTTTCATAACGTTTGGATATTTGAATAAAAAGTCACTTAGTTCAAAATTAAAACATGTTTTTACAATATGAAGGAATAGTACCGAAATCTGATTTGTATTTGTAAACAACAATTTAGTTATTATATAAATAATATTTATGTTTAAACTATTGCTAAGTATGTTTATTATTCATTTTTTGTTTTGTATATTAGAATGAGAGTATTTACAACAATTGCTTATAATAAAATCGATACTATAAAAAACGACACAAGATCTAAGTGTTTTGATGTGATGTATTGTTTGAATTGGGTCATTAAATAACACATTTCACCTTTCAAATTGTATCTTCAATACAATCGAAATATAATAAAAAACAATTAATTTTAAAATTCAAAAATTTCAATGATACATTTGACATATACATTATAACATAATTAATTGTGTATTTTTGCACAACGTTTACTTATCAAAAGTATATTTTATTTATGTAAAATCATACCAATCAAAAGCTATACATTTGGAAAGCAAGTTTTTAAGAACCAGCGTTTTTTGTCAATCAAACCGTAAAAACCGCGTTTTAAAATTGTTGTTGTTTGGTTTAAGACTAAAAATGTTTGCTCTTTAGATAACAGAAATTATCATTCCCACTCACTCACTCACTCTTGAAAGGTTCGAGTGTACTTTACATAGTATATATTATCATTTGGAAAATAGTATTCTGTTGGGGTGATACAACTTACTCTCATATTATCTAAATATTGTCGTTAAAGTACCACACAATTTAAATCAATTCAAATTCAAAATTATCTGTCGTGTATTGCTTAATAACAATTTGTTGTTGAATGTATTAAATAACCCATTGTTGAAAATAGGTTATTTAATTTATGTATTGCATCAACAATTTAGTTTAATTTTTAATAAATAATAATTTACATTAATATGTATACCCATAATATTAATTTTAGTTGTTCATAATTGTTTTATTAAAAAATTTATTTTACTTAAGGGTGAGGTTTAGAAAAAGGATGTATGTTGATTCCTTAATCATTCCAAAAGCCCATACCCCTACCCATTCATGGAGATGGGTGGGCTGGTTTTACTCTTTTTCTTTTAATTATTAAAAAATAAAATCAAAATACCCCAAAATAATCAAAAATTAAATATATATTTTACAACAAAATGAAAATTTAATTAATAATAAATAATTCTTGAACAGATACTCCAGATTCTACTGTTTTTGTTTTTGTGTTGCAATGTTTCATTCTTTTTAACACCGAAAAAGATCTTTCAACTGAACAACTTGTGACTGCAATCAAGTTGGTTAATCTTATATTTTCTGTTAATACTGGGAATAAAATTCTGTCGTTTTCATCCATTAATTCAAATAAATTTTGGGTAGTTATTTTTGGAATTGAACAAATACACATAAATTGGGAAATGTGTTCATCTGTCCACAATCTATAGTTGTAACGTTGTACTAATATTTCCAATTTTATGTCTTCAAGACATCGAATTTTAATCAAATCTTCATCATACAAAAATCGGTTATAATCGGTTCTAAAATGTCCACTTTTTCTTGGGTTCAATTTAAAAGTATTTTTAAATTTTGTTGAACATTTAATATCTTTGCTCTTCCAACTTTGATCATTTTCTTTCATGTTTAAAAATTTACAATATCCACATGAGTAGATTTACATATAGTTAATTGTTCACATTCTCTTGAAATATCCAGGTCGTTCAAATGTGATACTAACCCAATTTCATTAGAAGGTAACAAACAAACACTCATTTGTGTTTTCAAAAAGTCTGGTGTAACCTTTTCATACAATTCAATAAACTCACTAAAATAGTTTATTATAAAATCACATTCTTTTACACCGTTATTCCCTCCAATTTCTTTTCGAGTGCATTTTTTCAAAGGATGTGCAAATCGAAATACAAAAGCTTGAATGAGCCTGGTTAGTAAACCTTCACATACTATTCGAGCTCTTTCAATATCAGAAGATTCATTTTCTCGAACAAATGGTAATGACTGAAAAAAGGGATTGTTAATATTTTTCACTTTGTCTCGTAAATCGAACAAATATCGTATGTAATTCCAAATTCTGCAGTAACTTCCACACAGTAATCTATCTGGACTTTGTAGCCAATCCATAATATGTCTGAGTTCGGAGAGTAAATAATCACAAAAGAAAAGTACGGATACAAACAAAGGATTTTCAAATGTAATTTCTCCAAGTAGATTTCTTTCAACTTTTGGTTGTTCAAAGTGATATTTTTTTCATTTAAAAATTGTTTAAATGTGTTAAAGTGTTCGAAAATGAATGATAGAATTAATTCATTGTATCCAAAACGTGTTGATGCGTAATACCTATTTGACAATGTTTCATCGTTTATTTGATGGTTAACCCTGTAATCATTCCAAAGTCCTCTCCAATATTGCGTTGAAACGTCTTTAATAAATTGGTTGATAATCAATCCCTCATTTTTTCGAAAATTTTATTACATGCTTTTGATGTTCGGTGGTTATAACAGTAGTTATAATTGAACGACTTTTGCTTTCCTTCATTGGTGTTCAAAGATTCAATAAAATTTTGTTTTTGAATAATTTCATCTGAAATTGTTGAAGGGTTGATACAAATGTCATCATTAAGTTGTTGTTTTAATTTGTATATACACCTTTCTGCTTTTCTTTTTTTTTATATTGAGCAACTAAATATTGTAATCTCATACCAAGCATCGTCATATCCGAACCACCATCAACGGTTATTCCAGTTAAATGTTCAATACTAAGGTTGTAGTGAAACAGTACTTTTCTAATCCAAGTTTCCCATGCCATTCCCGTCTTGGTACCATAGTAACTTCCAATTTTTAATTTACGTTCTTTTGGTTTTAAATTTTGGTCTAATGTACGTATATATAGACTAAACACCGAATCTCCATGTAAAGTGGAAGCATCTGCAATAAGTTCAAAATCTTCCTTTTTGCTTCCAATTTCTTTTATTTTACTTTTTGTAATAAATTCGATCAATTTCATTTTGTTTTCAATAGTTTTGGCAGATACATCAATTACAATCTGACTTTCTCCATATTTATTTTGTATTCTCATTAATTCAAGTAATTTATCTATTTGAAAACGAGATAGTGATAATCGTTTAAAATAAAATGCATAGTATAAAACAAAGTATTTCTTGGATAATACTTTTTTATCAATTTTACTTTCTTTTGAATGAGTTTGAACCTGTTCTTTAATTTTCGATACAATAACATCATCTATTCCAAATTTAACATCATTGTTTTCACATATTAAATCCCATAAATATTGAACAATCTTTTCTTCACATTCTATATTGAAACTTTTATCTTCAATATATTCTTCACTTTCTTCACTAATATCATCAACAACAATATTTTCATTGTTTTCATCAACTAAATTAT